GCTTTGACCACGCGGACTTTTGTTGGCAATACTTTTTCATAAATGTCCATAAATCAAGAGTACGTTCTCAGTTTAGATACACACCTAAACAGCATACTCAAGATTGCTACAGCACAGATGCTGACACCAAATTTTGATGCAATCTTTCAGAGCAAGAGGTGTTATCAAAGACTGTTATATAAAGGAAATACTATAAGACTGTTACAGATTTGTGTTTATACTTTGAGTAAAAATATCATTGATTCGGTTTGTCGGTGTCCTTTCTGAAGTTTATATCTCTGGTACTTGGCATTACATTTTATGGCACACATGACCCACCCAGCCTGACTAATAATTTCACAAGCACACCATGCCAGAAGGACTGAAGGTTTTATTGAAACAAAAGCAGGGCCTTTCCTGGCCTCTGCTTGAACAAAACCTAACAGCCAACCACCAACAGAGGAAGTGAAACCAAACTACAGCACAGGCTTTTTGGCCATAAGGGACCAGGAGAAAATAACGATACAGTTTAACAAGGAAACAACCAAATACACAGCTTGCAACGATATAACACTGCCAAAGTGATATTTAATTTTGATTCAGCCATCGTAAAAAATGAGTTTGACAACTCTGTGCTAAGTAGTAACATTGTTTCTCCTTATGTGAGTTCTTAAATGCTGTTGAACGCCACATTGACTATCCCTTCGCACACACAGTGCATTCAACCCCTGTGTGGGTTCTTAGATATTTTCAGAGAGTGCTACTGTGACTGAATCTCGTCCTACACTGTGAGCATTCAAAGGGCTATTCACCTGGATGGGTTCTAGGGGGGTGCACTTGGTATGTACTGAGCCAAAAAATATCTGAAAGATACCTTATCAGTATTTGTTGGGTATTTATTCAGCCGAATACAGATTAAACAACCTAATTTGGCTAGCAAAATAGCCACACCAAAATAAAAGCCGATATTATTTGGCTTTTGTTCACGGTATCCTTAAATGTCTTCAGTCAAGTCGCTGAGCTGTGGAATTTATAGTTTAAATGTATTTAGTCCACATGTTGTGTTGTGCCACCATGGCAGCATGACTTGGTGAGTTAACTGATGAAATTTAAAGTTTAAATACCTCCAGTCCACATGCTGAGTTGTGCCGCCACAGCGGCATGTCTCAGTGAGTGAAATTCTCCATTATACCCTACAGAGATGGTCCTCGTAGGGTATAATGAAGATGAATAAACTCGGGTTTCCCAAATATTTACTGAATCCCAATACAACACCGATATTGGGATTCAGGGATATTTGGGAATGCCACTGTTTTCCAGGTCCAACTGACCCAAATATGAAAAAAAAAAAATTGCACACTTCTACTGTGCTCTTTGATGGTGTTAAAGAGTGCCACTCTGAATCTCTTTGAGCATATGCCTTGTGCACTTTTAGACGTTTTCGAAGAATGCTACTATAACTGATTCTCTTCCCACAGTCTTTGCATTGAAAAGGCTTCTCCCCTGTATGGGTCCCTAGAAGTTGTTGAAGACTGCCACTCGTACTGAATCACTTCTCACATTCTGAGTATTCAAAAGGCTTCTCCTTTGTATGGGTTTGTTGATGCTGTTGAAGAGCACCACTCTGACTGAATCTTTTTCTACACTCTAAACATTCAAAGAGCTTCTCCCCTGTATGGGTTCTTTGATGCTCTTGAAGAGTGGCATTTCGACTGAACATCTTCCCACACTCTGAGCATTCAAAGGGCTTCTCCCCTCTGTGGATTTGTTGATGTTGTTGAAGAGTGCCCTTCTGACGGAATCTTTTCCCACATTCTAAACATTCAAAGGGCTTCTCCCCTCTGTGGATTTGTTGATGTTGTTGAAGATTCCCACTTCGACTGAATTTCTTCCCACACTCTGAGCATTCAAAGGGCTTCTCCTCTGTGTGAGTTTGTTGATGCTGTTGAAGAGTCCCACTTCGATTGTATCTTTTCCCACACTCTGAGCATTTAAAGGGCTTCTCCTCTGTGTGAGTTTGTTGATGCTGTTGAAGAGTGCTTCTGTGAATGAATCTCTTCCCACACTCTGAGCATTCAAAGGGCTTCTCCCCTGTGTGGGTTCTTTGATGATGTTGAAGAGTGGCCATCCGACTGAATCTCTTCCCACACTCTGAGCATTCAAATGGCTTCTCCCTTGTATGAGTTTTAAGATGCTGTTGTAAATGGCTACTCTGACTGAATGTTCTCCCACATTCTGAGCATTCAAAAGGCTTCTCCCCTGTGTGGGTTCTTAGATGCTCTTGAAAATGGCTATTCTTAAAAAATCTCTTCCCACACTCTGAACATTCAAAGGGCTTCTCTCCTGTGTGGGTTCTTTGATGCTCTTGAAGACTGCCACTGCGACTGAATGTCTTCCCACACTTTGAACATTCAAAGGGCTTCTCCCCTGTGTGGGTTTGTTGATGCCGCTGAAGAGTACCACTCTGACTGAATCTCTTCCCACACTCTGAGCATTCAAAGGGTTTCTCTCCTGTGTGGTTTCGTCGATGAAGTCGAAGACTGCAACTCCAGCGGAATCTTTTCCCACACTCTGTGCATTCAAAGGGCTTTTCCCCTGTGTGGGTTCGTTGATGCTCTTGAAGACTGCCACTGTGACTGAATCTTTTCCCGCACTCGGAGCATTCAAAAGGCTTCTCCCCTGTGTGGGTTCGTTGATGTTTTTTTAGAGTGCTACTCCGACTGTACCTCTTTCCACACTCTGAGCATTCAAAGGGCTTATCTCCTGTGTGGGTTCGTTGATGCTCTTGAAGACTGCCACTGTGACTGAATCTTTTCCCGCACTCGGAGCATTCAAAAGGCTTCTCCCCTGTGTGGGTTCGTTGATGCTTTTTTAGAGTGCCACTCCGACTGAATCTCTTCCCACACTCTGGACATTCAAAAGGCTTCTCCCCTGTGTGGATTTGTTGATGCTCTTTAAGCTGGCCACTCCAACTGAATCGCTTCCCACACACTGAGCATTCAAAAGGCTTCTCTCCCGTGTGGGTTCGTTGATGCTCTTGAAGACGGCCACTTCGAATGAATCTCTTCCCACACACTGAGCATTCAAAAGGTTTCTCCCCTCTGTGGATCTTTTGGTGCACAATGAGATGTGATCTGTTTCTGAAGTACTTTCCACACTGAAAGCATTTATGTGCCTTCATTATACTGGGTTTTGGAACACGTATATTATGCTTTCTTCCATCAGAGAATGCCATTCCAGTCTCTGAGCAGATAAATCTCTTCTCTCCTGAATGAATTCTTTGGTGCTGAACAAGGTCTGATTTCTCTGAAAAGCTCTTGAGACAGTCTGAGCACCTATATGGTTTCTCTCCTGTATGTGTTCCTTGAGGTCTATGGAACTCTGCTCTGCAAATCCTGGTCTTTCCACTCTCCAAGCATTGATGGGTCTTCTTCCTACTGTGCATTTGTAAAGGGACGTTATATTGGGTTTGATCTGAGACATTCCTTTCACACTCCAAGCCCTTGCCTGTTTCCTCTACCATGTGAATCATTTCTTGGAAATCCTCCCTTTGGCAAGGAATGGGTTTGGCCCTCTTCTTGACCATGTGGCTGCATTTCTGCCTCTTAGGTCTTACTTGATTCCTGAAGTTTCCCCTCAAATTTTCATTCTGGATTTCATCTGGTGATAGAGGCTGCAGTTCTTCATCCTCCTCGTTCTTATGATTATCTCCTGTTTGAATAAAGAGAGAGATCCTTTTAGATCCCATGCAAGGAGGTCTCATCTGTACCTGAAGTTTCATCCACATTTCAGTGGCTTCTTCCTGCTGTACACTTAAGTGTACAATAATATACACTTTCAAAGTATATTAAGCCTCCTGCATTAGAGATGCTTGTTCGGGGCTCTGACCATTTATATGGATCTCCACCTGTGTGACTTCTTAGATGTGAAGTGTGAAGAAATGCATCTTGGGATGGAGGTTTGAACTGAGCAATACCTTCATTCTGAGTTTAAATGTTTTTTTCTGTCTGGGCAGAAGGCAGGCAAGTAACAATGGGATAGTCAAGTTCTCTCCCCCCACCCCTAAGCAGGGAACAGAGATCTGGAGGAATAAAGACTAGAAAGGATTCAGGAAGAAACTCCTGGAGGCTTCAGGAAAAGCTTCTTTGACCCAGCCTGACCTAATCAGTGGGAGACGAAAGAGAGATAAGACTCCTGGGAGAAAGGAGGAGGAGCTCTTTTGTGCTCATTCCATCAAGGAAGAAAGAGCTCTTGACTAAGACCTGGAGGAGGCAGCCATTGCCATGTGTTGGCCTACACTTGGGGAAGATCTTGACAGGCTGGAAAACTGGGCTAAAACAAATAAAATGAATTTCAATGGGGATAAATGTAAAGTTTTGCATTTAGGTACGAAAAATCAAATGCATAATTATAGGATGGGAGAGACTTGTCTTGGCAGTAGTATGTGTGAAAAGGATCTGGGGTCTTAGCAGACCATACAGTGAACATGAGTCAACAGTGTGATGTGGTAGCTAAAAAGGCAAATGTGATTTTGGGCTCTATCAACAGAAGTATAGTGTCCAGATCACGCGGCGCGATGGGTATTGCTTTACTCTGCTCTGGATAGACCTCACCTAGATTACTGTGTTCAGTTTTGGGCACCACAATTTAAGAAGGATATAGACAAGCTGGAACGTGTCCAGAGCAGTGTTTCCTCTAAGCTGAGTTAGTGTGAGCTAGCCTACAGTTTTTTAGCCTCTGGCTCACACATTTTGTCTTAGCTCAGGAAGCATGGCTCCAGAGCAAACTAATTTATGTAGTAGCAAAATCACTTGCTCACAGCTTTAATGCCAGGAGCTCACAAAGTGGAATTTTTGCTCACAAGACTCCACAGCTTAGAGGGAGCATTGGTCCAGAACTAGGGCAACAAAGATGGTGAGGCGGCTGGGTTGATGTGCTTTTGGCCTCGTCCAGCAGGGCTGTTCTTTGGTACCCCCCTCCCCTCGAAATATCAATTATTTAGGGAGAGTGCAGCCCCTCAACAGCCACAGCTGAGCTCAGCCCCAGAAGGCGCTCCCGAATCTCCACATCCAAGGCCCAGAAGGCCTCCCTCCCTCCTAACCTAGCCGGCTTGATCATTACACCAAAGCAAGAGTTGCCCGGAAGGGAAGAGGAAAGGTCCCCCTGCTATCCCTGGCCCATTCCCTTGACCTAACCATGAAGGAAACTCACCAGCAGGCAGCTCAAGTGGGAAAGAAAGAGTCTCTTGAGACCTCCCTGAGAAACTCTCCAGCCATTCTTCGGACACAAGGCCTTTGTCACTCTCCGCCGTTGTTTCTCTTACATTCCTGGCTTCTTTGGCAGAGAGACAGAAAGTAATCATTGTTGTACGAAGGAGGAGAAAAATCCAAGAAAGAGGTCACATTGCCCCTGATAAGGCAATTTTACTTGCACTCTTAGGACCTAAACTGGAAGGTACATATTGGTACTGATATTATTTCCAGTATATACAACTACTTCTGATACAAGGCCAGAGATATTTGTGGCCGCCCAATAGAACTCTTTCGGTGTGTCATTCAATGCCATATTTTGACTTCTGAAGAAGGCTCTTCTGAGCCAAAATACATCAGGTCATACACTGTCCTTAGCTTTAACTGCCGCCCCAAGTCCTGGAGGGTCCCAGTATGTGTGTGGGGGAATATCTGGCCAGGCATCACAGCCACACACTGCTTTTCAATATTTTGATTGGGCATCACCCCAATGGAAGCAATTGGCACCTTTGACACAATGAAAGATCCTTACCCAGAGAGGCCACATTCCCGTAGTTCTCCAGCATGACTTCCCTGTAGAAACTTTTTTGGCCCGGATCCAGCAGGGCCCACTCAGCCTCGGTGAAACACACAGCGACCTCCTCAAAGGAAAAGGGAGACTGAAAGAAAAAGCAGATGATTCCCTGGTCACAGATCATGCCAGGCAGAGACGACACTCTTGACCGACGGCAGCATTCGGGGGGGGGGTGCAGGATACAGAGCTTGCTATGTGTAGAGGGAGTTGCGCTCAGAGTCTCTCTTGCTCGGACAGCTGGAGCAAAGACATCCCTGAGAAAGGAATGAGGCCCGATGGTCCCCCAATCATCGCCCAAAGTACCTGGACCAGAAGAGGAGCAGACATTTGTGCTCCACTGCAAAGATGACGGCTTGACAGCATCTCTTCACGGCCTGCAAGGGAGACACAATTGGAAGGGTGAATTCTAGCCTCAACTTTGTATTTTGTTAAATTTGTAATGATTTTTAATAGCCACCGACACATTTCAAACTTCTCTTGAGACTTGGAATGTGCCCTGTGAACTCTGGAGCTCAAAAGGCTACAGCATCCTTCCTGGATGAGACCAAAACCCCAGGCAAGCCAATCTACTGCTGGCTGGGCCCTCCCACGAGCCCTTGAGTCTGCACTGCAGGGAGAAAAAGAGAGGTCGGAAATCGCATTGAATTACATGCTGCCAGAACATCCAGCCCCAAACCCGGACGTGATTTTAGTGTATCATCTGACATTCTGCACTACCAATGGGGTTTCAGGGCAACTGCTGATGCTCTGACTTCACATCCAGGTATTTGGCTGGACATCAACAGGACATCACGCCCACCCCATGCTCTGCCCTCAGACCTCATGGGGCGACCAGGCCATGGCCTGTCATCCCTAGTCCAGTATCCTCGTTCTGACTCTGGCCTGTCAAAAGCCCCTGGAAAGCTTTTACTGGCCTTTGGCAACTGGTGTCCAGAGGTATAGTGCCCCAGAACATGTGTAAAGTGCCATCAGGTCACAACTGACTTATGGGGACCCCACAGTTATTGAAGGCAAGAGACCTTCAGGGGTGGTAGGCCATTGCCTGCCTCTGCACAGCAACCCTGGTCATCTTTGGTGGCCTCCCATCCAAGTACGAACCAGGGCTGACTCTGCTTACCTTCTGAGACCTGATGAGATCAAGCTAGCCAGGGCCATCCAACTCAGGGGAACATGGGAGGTTCCATTTATTCATCGCCATGGCTAATAGCTGCACCCACTTTTGTCTTCCTTTCCTTTTTTCAGCCGCCTTGAGTCCCTCTAACATAGGTGTGTCAAACATGTGGCCCACAGACTGGATCAGGCCATCAGAGGGCTGCAATCCAGCCCGCAAGGCCTTGGCTGTTTCTATTGAGATATATGTCAGAGTGATAGAGGTAGCAAGCAGTTACTATAGATCAGTTTGATCTGTTTGTCAGACCTAGCTGTCATGCTAGTAATCATGTAATTACAGCCAGGTGTTTTCTAGCAGGTGTTACTCTTTCAGGGCTTGTTAGAGCTAGTGATTACATCACCTTGTTAGAGATTGGCTGGGGTTTAGCATAATAGCTATCAGCGTAGTAAGCTGAAGGGGGACTTAGTTCTCATAGACTAAGGCACGACATGCTGTTCAATAGCCTGTAAATATCTCTGTATATATTCACCTTTATAACTCTATAAATTCTCTGTGCACCTTCATAACTGGTCAGTCTCCCGCTTCTTATTTACAACACCCAATAGTTTCCTGCTTCCCCTTCCAGTTCTGCTGCTGCTGCTACCTCACAGCTTGCTTTACCAGACTCTCTCAGTCACACAGGAGAGATAGATAAGCAAGCCTCTCCTGTGTGATTGAGAAAGTCTGGTAAAGCACTGGCTGAGGCTCCTCCCCCTCCTCCCCCCAAGGGGAGGGAAGGAATGAGCTAGAGCTCGCTTCCTGGCCAGGCTGCCTCAATTGTATACAGGAGACAAAGGGAAGCCTTCCTTTCCTTCCACTGGCTGAGGCTTCTCCCTGAAGGGAGGGAGGGAGGGAATAAGGGAGAGCTTTAAGACCAACAAAGGCACCTTTAAGACCAACAAAGTTTTGTTCAAAGTATGAGCTTTTATGTGCCTTGCTACAATGTGTGTTTTATTTAAAGTGTAGAAAATCTTTAATTGTGTCCTTTATATCTCCGCTACCTGGCATTACATTTTGTGACACCCGTGGCCCGACAAGGCCTCATTTATGTCAGATCCAGGCCTCATAACAAATGAGTTCAACACCCCTGCTCTAACAGAAGGAAAGTAAGATACAAATATTTTAATTCATGTAAATAAGCATGTAACGGCTTTCCATGAATCTGTCTACTCTCCTTTCAAGTGAGGGGCCATCACTACACCCTGGGGCACTAAGTCCCAGAAGTCCCCTCTGCGTAGTCCCAAACCTTCCACCCAATGACTGGACTAGATGCCCTGATCCCATCCGGGCAGGAGGCACCTTTTCCACTTGACAGGGCACCTTGGGCAGGCTGCTGGGCCTCTGCCCTCAGACTTTCCTCTGACGGAGCTCCTTCTGCCTCAGAGAACTTCGCTTCCATCTTGACAGCTGGTCCCCACATCTGAAACAGCAGTAAGGGAGACGAGTAAGAGAAGAAATGGAAGAGGCTGAGGAGACAGATCCTGCCCCACTCCCAGACTCCTCATCCCTCCATCGACCAGCAGAGTTGGTTCAACCACAGGGCCGAGAATCAGGGCTGGGTTTTCTTCCCAGCCCTGTGAATTCTCTAAAGGGAGAAATACCTGGCAGGGAGGCCTTAGGACAAGGTCCTTGCTGGAACTGAGCGAAGGACACCCCCTCACCTGCTCTGCCTGCCTCTTCTCCTCGGCCTGACTCAGGAGGAAACCTTCGGCCAGGGCCACTGCCTGGGAACTGCTCTCCGGCTCGCATCCCCTCACCCAGCCCTGCATCTCCTGGGGCAGGATGGCCAGGAACTGCTCCAGGATCACCAGGTCCAGGATCTGCTTCTTGGTGCGCCTCTCGGGCTCCAGCCAGTGGCTGCAAAGTTCATGGAGCTGGCTGCAAACTTCTCGGGGTCCATCAGCCTCAGCGTAGCAGAACTGCCGGAAGCATCGGTTGTGTACATCCGCAGTCATCATGTCCTGAGAGAGGATCTCTGGCCCAGCTCTTTCCCAGTATTCAACACCAATCCTGGCCTGGGTGGGATGGGGACTTTTCCTTGATCTCTTGCCTATTCCAGGTCCTTCTGGGTCCTCCTCATCCATCTCCTTCCCCTTGTCTTGGGTCGCCTCCAACTGTGGAAAGATACCCGTACTCTCATGGCTACAAAAAGGAAGAAGAAAGGAAACAAAAATCACCGACCCTAGTCATGAGGCACCAAAGGATTGGCCAGGTGGATCGAGAGGAGCATCATTGTTGCAGTTTGTGTGGATCAGGATCAGTGTCATCTCTCTTATAAATAAAAGCCGAATGGTGGTGGCACTTCTCTAGAACATTCCACACGCTCCGGAATTGGTTGGTGCCCTGGTGTGTCACTCAGAATCTGTCCCTATCCACTGGCTGCATTGCTTATTGGCTTTTGCCTCTAACATTCTAAACAGTTTGCTGTTCTGAGGTAAAATGTATCCAATCCCCAGGTGAGGGCTGAAGATCACTCAGAATTACAACTGCTTTCCAGATGGCAGAGATCAGTTCTCCTGGAGAAAATGGTGGGCTCTGTATCCTTATATGCTGCTGAGGTGGCCCCCGTATGACAGCCAATGTGACGTAGCAGTCAGGGCTTCAGAGCATGGGAGAGGCTGCAGGTGTGTGGGGGGTGAGAAGCTGAAGAGTGAGGGGGAAATAAAGGTAGGTTGATGATTGGGAAGGAGATAGGGTTGCCAACTCCAGGTGGGAAATTCCTGGAGATGTGAGGGATGGAGCCTGGAGAAGGTGAGGTTTCAGGAGGCGTGGGACCTCGGACAGGTACAAAGCCATAGACTCCACCCTCCAAACCAACCATTCCCTTCTGGGGAACCATCATTGCCAATCTCCAGGTGAGGGCTGGAGATCACTCAAAATTACAACTGTTCTTTAGGTATCAGAGATCAGTTCCTCTGGAGAAAATGGTGGACTCAGTGTCATTATACCCTGCTGAGGTCGCCACAGCAAATTGACACTGAGTGTCCAAGGCCGGGGCACCCGCCCAGAGCCTCCTTCTAGAGGCTGTTGTATTTATTTCCACAACGAGCCTTTTTCCTAGTTCTGCTATATTACGAATCAAGCAGTTAGATATGCCCGTTTGGTTCATCAGGAAAACAAACCATCTCTATTTGGCTCTTGAAAACTTTGTTGCGGATGATATGATCTTGGCTTTAGATGACCAGGGAATCAGCCTGTCCTGAAGGGCTACATCTCAATATAAACTGGGACCCCGGATAAAGTGACTATTAGCGGCTTCTGTGTTGGAAACGTTAGGCAACAGTTCTGTCCAAGCAGCCAGCAAAGGGGATGGGCCAGGGGCTGTCCAGCCTCTCCAGGTCAGGGCAGAGGGGCTGCCTGGATGAACAGGAGTGCGGGGGGGGCAGTGAACCCCCAGGGGGAGGGTCAGATTTTGGGGGGGGAAACCCTGGGTCAAATGCCTGACATGTCAAGGAGCCGACTGGCAGGAATGATTCCTCCCTTCCTGATCAGGCGCAAGACTCCTTTCAGGACCTACAACACCTCTTAGAACTAACACCAAAACATGATGTCCTCATCATCATAGGGGACTGGAATGCTAAAGTAAGAAGTCAAAAGGTAACCAGAATAACAGACAAGTTTGACCTTGGAAAGCAAAATGAAGCAGGGCAAAGGTTAACAGAGTTTTGTCAAGAGACCACACTAGTCATAGCGAACACCCTTTTCCAACAACCTAAGACGCGACTCTACACATGGACATCACCAGATGGGCAACACCGAAATCAGATTGACTATATAATTTGCAGTCAAAGATGGAGAAGCTCTATCCAGTCAATAAAAACAAAACCTGGAGCTGAATGTGGCTCAGATCATGAGCTACTCATTGCAAAATTCAGACTTAAACTGAAGAAAATTCGGAAATCCACTAGGCCATTCAGGTTTGACCTAGATCGCATCCCTGATGAATATACAGTAGTGGTGAAGAATAGATTCAAGGGTCTAGATTTGATAGATAGAGTGCCTGAAGAACTATGGACGGAGGTTCGTGACATTGTACAGGAGGCAACAATCACCACCATCCCAAAGAAAAAGAAATGCAAGAAAGCAAAGTGGCTGTCTGATGAGGCTTTACAGATAGCAAAGGAAAGAAAGAAAGCGAAAGTGGGGGGCTGTAACTTGGACCCCATAAATCCAATCCTCATCAAACTTGGAGGGCAAGTAGAGGAGAGTCATCTGGAGATCTCTTGCATGTTTGGCATCTTTAATTTGCACAGGATCCATTCTATACAATCCTGACCCTCATGAACCTGTGCTTGTCATTTCCCCAGAAAATGCTTTCCTGGGGACACCTTCTTTGGGGGAGCCATAACTCGAACCCCATAAATTCAATCCTCACCAACCTTGGCATGTAGGTAGAGGTGGGTTAGCCGGATATCCCTTGTGAGTTTGGTGTCTCTATCATGCTGAGGGGTGTTCTACCATGTCACAAACCTCACAAATGAAACTGGTTTATTTGTGATGTTTCATGGTTCATGAAGCTGGCATACCATGAACCATACCACATTTTCCCAGTTCATGCCCATCACTACTCAACACCAGTTCTCTAGGTGAAATCCATCTGGTTGTCCTCATGAATTACCCCTGCATTGACCCATGTGGATCTATAAGAACCAGATCATCACTGAGACAGTACCCTAAGACCACAATTGTACCTTTAAAGATTGACTACCTCTTTCAATAGTCTTTCAGTAGTCATGTATGGCTGCGAGAGTTGGACTATAAGGAAGGCCGAGCGCCGAAGAATAGATTCTTTTGAACTATGGTGCTGGAGAAGACTCTTGAGAGTCCCTTGGACTGCAAGAAGATCAAATCAGTCAATCCTAAAAGAAATCAACCCTGACTGTTCCCTGGAAGGCCAGATAATGAAACTGAAGCTCAAATACTTTGGCCACCAAATGAGAAGGGAGCACTCACTGGAGAAGCCCCTGATGCTGGGAAAGATGGAAGGTCAAAGAAGACGGGGACGGCAAAGGATGAGATGGTTAGACAGTGTCATAGATGCCACGAACATGAAATTGAGCAAACTTCAGAGGACTGCGGAAGACAGGAGGGCCTGGCATGACCTGGTCCATGGAGTCCCGAAGAGTCGGACTTGACTGTGCGACTGAACAACAAAAAGAAGATTTCCATGGGTGTGAATTTATTTTTATTTACAAAGTTCAGATCCCACCTCTGTCCCCCACCAGGGCCACCCAGGCAGCTAACAAATTAAAACATACGTCAGAAAATCACACTTTGAAAGCATTTAAAGCCCCTCAGAGTAACTGTGAGATCCTCCATTACGCTTGAGAGGAGACCGATGTCTGCTTCAGACCAGTCCGGCTCCCCACCCGAATCTATACATGAGAGTCAACGTTCCTCTTTCCCGTGATTTAAGAGCTTATCTCCCCACCCCCCACCCCATACTGTCTTACTTGTGAGTAAATCTTCCTAGGATCCGACTGGACGGCTTTTCCCTGCTGCTACCTGCCTGAAGCCCCGCCGGTTCTCTTTGGCGATAAAGAATCAAATCCCCACCCCACTCCCGAACACACCCCGGAAAAGAGCCTTCCCCCTTTCTCGCCCGCCCACCCTTGCCCGGCCTCTAGCAACTTAGCAAGCAGCTCTGTTGGCTTAACTCCCTCAGTGCTGCAGACGAAGGAGAAAGGCTTTCCGTCCTTTCCCGGAGGAGCGGCGCCCAGACCTGGACAGAGCGGACTTCAGCCGGGCTACCGCCCCTGAGCCCCCTAGGCAGTTCAGTGGGGCTGCTCGGGAGTAACTGTGATCAGGGCTGCGCTCCCAGGGTATCCAGTGCTGTTCAGCCATCTCAGAAAAAAGGATGGGTGAACAGAAAAAGAAAATGCGTTCTCTTTAGGGCCTCCCCCCCTTTCAGGGATGCCGGGCTCCAAGTGGGACCTGGGGACCCACTAGAATTACAGCTCATCTGCTCATCTGCAGACTGCAGAGACCACTTCCCCTTCTAGAGAATGGATTTGGTAGTCTCCAGGCAGGAGACTGGCAACCAATGCTCCCTGGAGGGTGGGGTATAAATCCAATCTCTTCTTCTTCTTTGCAGACAAGCTGGGCTACCTGGGATTCTGAAGGCTGAATCCAGAAGGGAAACAGCTAAAGAATGTCAGAGATATCTTGAATAATAGAGAACAGCACTGTAGACTGAGTTTTAGAATTAACCAACATAAGAATATCAGCCAAGGGGCATTGATGCAGATACATCAGAATGAGGGTGCCTATATGAATCAATGGGTTGGGTTATTAAAATTATGATTGTATCAGTAGAAAAGGTATTTAAGGTTCTTGTAAATATTGTTTCAAGTCTTCCTGGCTTGACTGCGGGGGGGACTTTTCTCTGCAGAGAAATAAACCGCTTCTTTCCTGATCACTTTGTAAGAAAACGGATGCTTTGGAGGATGGGCACGCTGGCATTGCACCCCCCAGGGATGCCGGCCTCCAGGTGGGCC